GAGAGAGAGAGAGAGAGAGAGAGAGAGAGAGAGAGAGAGAGAGAGAGAGATGAGGGGAGGGTTAGGAGAAGGCGTGTGGGGAGGGGATTAAAGACACACCACAACCATGAATGCATCACCCATCATATTTTGTTTTTGCAAGCGAAGCCGCAACAGGTCATCTAGTCAATTTTTGAACTTGCCATCCTCAGGACGTGGCCACCACTGTGCTGGAAACCGGGTCCAGCGTCCCATGTCAACCTTAAGACCTACCCTTATTTGTTGTACAAAAAAGAGTTGGTGTGTTGAGACGAGAAGAAAGAGACAGTGCAGATGTGGTGTGTTGAGACTAGAAGAAAGAGACAGTGCAGATCTTTCAAGATCACTCTGTGCTTTAGTTGTCGAGGTTGGTAATAGAGACACACGATCACACCAAGGTTAGTGACTTAAGGCACACAAAACCACACCGAGGATAGTATCGAGAGGGACACAAACAAACCAATGTTAGTGACAATAGGCACGCCTAACCACACCAAGGGGGTTAGTAACTATAGGCAAGCGGTTTGCGGGCTGGCTTCTACTTATGGCTATTCTCACTGTTCTATAATTGTTTGGTGGAACGGCATGAAACTGGTCCGCATCTTTAGACATTCGTCAAAGCATTCCACTCATATTGCCCATCATGGCAAGACTTCTGTCTGTTCTACATGTGCTTGCATGTAACCTGAGACACGTTTTCCGTTTTGCATTGCCTTATTTCTTCCTTGCCTGCAGAGTTTTGTGTACAAGGGCAAAGATGAGGATTCTTGCCTCAAGATGGTGGACTTCAGCTCAGCGGCATTTTTCCATCCAGGTATGAATGCAGAACTCCCTCATTCGGAGAAAATGAGGTGTCATATATTGGTCAGGATTTGAACCTGCGACCGCATGCCTTTTTCCCTAAGAAACCGCATTCCTTGGGGGCTGGGCCGAACGGCGCCCGCAGTACATAAATTCCATCAGCGGGCGCCGTTTCGCTTCGGCCTCCGGAACGTGCGGGGACCCACCCCGTAGCCGATATATGTGAAAGGTAGTGGTCCTTTAAGACCGTTGATGTTGAGGAATTTTAGAGAGAATCGAAGTGTATCTTATACACT